GTGACCGCTTTCTTGGAGCCCTTCTTGGGCGCGGGCGCAGACTTAGCCGGCTCAGGCATGACAGCAAACAATTCCTGGCTGCTCTGTCGCACCGGAGTGCCCGAGACCGCGATTGCTCCCTTATTTATAGAGGCCTTATGCAAATCCCCGGTATCAGAAATCAGCGCTTCCATTGGACAGAGCGTCAGTGACGTCACCTCACACACAGAGTGCTTCGCTATTGGTCCTTTTTAAAAACCTCACTACTATTGGACAATCATTCAAATGTCACCAGCCAGTAAGAACGAGCCCTTTCGATCCCACCGTCCGGCGGCGAAGCTCGGCCTGTGCCGCCCTCGGGGTTACCCGGAGCGCTCGGACCGTGCGTCCCCCGCAGCTGCCAGGGCGCGGGTTCGTACCGACCAAATGTGCTTATCGGCAATTTCTCCAGGCGAAAAAAACCTCCAAAACTACAGAAAATTGCAAGGAAGTTTGCTATGTTGTGTTTTGGTTTTTTCCCCCTTCAAGCAGCAGCATACCTTCTCATAAAAATCTGCATTTCTAACAACCACAAGATAGATATTAAAGGGAAAAAAATGAAACCAGAAAAGATAGGAGGACTCCAGAACACAAACACATAATGGTATTTCAAATTAATTCTCTTGGCCCACAGAACATGGTTTCTTTTTCAGCACTTTAAATGAGATGGAAGTTCTGATTTAATTTGTAATGTGAAATAATGTGCATTTCTTTTGAGATGTAATAAGTACTGGATGGTAGTACTTAAGTTAAAACCAAGATAATCCTAGAAATTAAATGTGCTCTCTATTCTGCAGTTTGATTGTATAATGAACCAGAAATTCCAGCTGTTTTATTGTTAATATGACTTCATTGTTTAAGGAGAAAGCTTTTTTTTCTTTTAAATAGACAAAAATGATTTAACAGCGTAAGGGATTCTGATGTGCTGAGGATTGGTTCTTTTTAAATTAAAATGCTATGTGTCAACATTGTAAATTACAGTTATAAATTAATTTGCTAAATTAGAGCACTGTAATTCACTATGCTACAGGAATCAAGCTAATTTGTAGTTGAATGAAGCTAGGACTGGAAAACTGGTATCAAATAACCAGTGGTATAATGATTCATTTTGGAAATATTAAGGACTATTCAAAGTCTGTACTTTTTTGATATCAGAGGAGATGGGTGATATGGGCCTATACAAGAAGCCTATCTGGCACAGATGAAAAAAGCTCTCTCACCTTACCCAGCTGGTCTTGCTTCTGTTTTGTTTTTTTTTTCCCTTCCACCCAGCTAGGCAGAATTATGGATCCACAAAGATTTCCAGCCTATGTCCAAAATAATGCTGTCTGAAAAAAGGAGGCAAGTAAATAAAGGGTGGGACCTTTTTCCTTCCCAGTGAGGGAGGCTTGCTTGACAGTGCTTCTGCTATAGTTACCACCTAGACGGGGGAGACAGAAGCAATGTTGAAAAGAGCAGCTTCGTGCAACCTCAGTGATGCTGCAGCTATGTTTTTATGTCTGCCCTCCTCCCCAGGCCTGCTCCCTCTCATCCAGAACAGGGAGGGACAGATGCTCATCCATCTCCATTTGCTCTGCTTCCCACCCAGCAGTCTTTAGCAGCTTCATCAGTTCAGAGAAAATCTAGTAAGGCAGGAGGGAACAGAGGCATTAAGAAGAAAGCAAGCCACCGAAAACAAATCAACCCACATAGGTTTTCCAAACCAAACGCCCCCATAGCTATGTTAATCCTTTTAAGTGTGTTGATTGGTTCCAACAAAAATGACAGTTGATCCAAGACTCAGAAATTCTTGGTTTTAACAAGTTTTGTAATGATCAGTTTCAGCATATAAAGAAATCCAGGTTAAAGTCTCCATTGTGGAAAGGTAGCAACTGTGAATGGAAAAACTACCCCTTCATTTTATCCTTCCTGTTAAAATATCTGTTCAAACAAACAAATAACCCCCCCTGACCCCTAAACCAACATCTTAATAGTAACTGAAGGCCAATAATTCGTGGTGTGGTGTAGTTGTATGTGCTGCCCCTTCACAAAGAGATAAAAGTGAACAGTGCTGAAGGAAAAATAATTTGGGAAGGGAGTAGAAAGAGGATTAGAAATTATTTATAAAAGGAATTCAAGGTTTTGGAAAGAACTGATTGTGGAAATCTTATCAATTATGGCAGAAGAGCAGAGTTTATTGCACTGTTTAGACAGAACATATGGGGAATTAATCTAGACAGTCGTATTTCTCTCAACAGTCTAAAAAAACATGTTCACAAAACAGAATAGTTGGTACTTGTTAACACCCTGTCACCCATCTCACTTCAGTAAGAATTGAGTTTCCAGTGATTGACCAAAGCTTTGGAGCATCCAAAAGAAATAATCATGCAGAATCAGGAAACCTAAGTGTGAAGGGAGGGAACAGAGAAAAGGTTTCATCAACAGCTCTAGAACAACTAAAAGATGTCAGAGCTTGATGGAGTCACCAGTCTATCTTGTGTTATGAAACAGTATGAATTGTCTCATTCCCCTGGAGGGTTTACCTCCTCCACGTGAACATGTGCTACAGGCTGACAGTTTTCTCCTGTCCAGGTAACTGTTCCAGCTGGAAGTGTCTAGGAGGCAATAGCATGTCATAAAGGCAAAGCTACGGTTAGTGTTTTGCCAGTGCAGCTCCTGGGTGAGCCCTACACAGATTTTTCTGGAAAATTCTCTTTCTTGTTCTGAAATGTCATGTCAGAAAGGCAATTCTTTTCTCTCTGTGATTATTGCCTAAGTAGGCTCCATCCAAAAAATGGATTTTTTGAGTAGTATCTTGACATTTATATCCTACCTTCTGCAGTCTCTCCAGCCAGAAATACTGAAGGACAAATCATCTGATGAAGAAGAAGAGTCAGAAAGTTATATATTTTCTTGGGCTTACAGAGCGCACCTGTGAAAAGCAGAGTACACCCAAAAAACAAACCAAGAGAGAATATTAACCAAAGTAAACAAGCAAAGACAAAAATGCAGACTTTTAAGCATAGTAGGATAAGCGATGGCAATTTAGATTGATTTCTGAACATAATTTCATTTTGGTCTGGTGTATTCCTCTGTGTGCAACACAGAGAAAAGAACCAAGATGAACTCCCAGGAAAGAACGGCTAGATCATCAGCAGGACACACTTAGCACACAACATTAGGGATAATTACAAATATATTGATGATAAGGCACAGCTGTCTAGCAGTTGTGATTATTCGGGAAGATTTCTGAAGTCCGTGATGAACCTTAGAATTACATTTGAGAAGCTGAGTTGCAAGGCTGCAGGTTGCTACTGTAGATCTTTTAGTTATTGAGATTAAAATATTAAGCCTAATTGCCTTTATGCTCCATACCTTGCTATTTATAGCTGCAAGTTTTCTAGTTTTCTAAATTGTTGAGTGTTGCTATCATCTGAAAACCTTATAACTCCTTGCAGGAACATATAATATATGGGTCATATTTCTACAGCATAAACTAACTGTACTGAAAAAAAAGACAAGATGCAAGAAAAGAATAAAGTAGGGGAGGAAGTAAACATGCATTTTCAAAACCCAAAAATTAACATCTGGACACTTGAAACTACTAAAGATGATTAAGATGATGCAACTCATTAAAACATTGTGTCCTTCTTTCCTTGTGAATGCAGCTGTAGAACTATAATAAATAATAAATACCGCTTTGCGTTCAAAAAGTAGCATTATGTGAAGGAAAAAAAACAGCAAAAGAAATAGTTTAATATGTATCAATAAAGAGTTAGACCATGAAAATGACCAAACACCTGCCACATCTTTAAAAGCACTTGAAGCAATACAGGTTTTTTGTGGGTACATCAGGCAAGGGACACAAATCAATTCTTTCATCAGGACGTTAGTCTCATAAACACAAGGTCACGTGATAATTAAGTCAGAGACGCGGGACACACAAAAGACTTTCCTCCCTGCAAAAATAAGTGAAAGTGTCGGCCCCAAGGAAAAAAAAAACCAAAAACAAAAACCCCAAACAAAACCCAAACCACCTTACTACTTTTTCTCAGCTCGCGGTAGAAAAGGGTGGATTTCCAGTAGTACCGGGCCCACCGCGCCCGTCCCTCTCCGCTGCCCGGCCGGGCCATTTGTTGGGGCTCAGCGCCGGCGGAGCGCGGATGGGACGCGGCGCTCACGGCCCCGCCGCCCCAATTGGCCGGATACTGCAGCAGCCCTCTGGCCGGCGAGACCCCGCTCCCCCTCGGCCCCGACAGCGGGGCCGAGAAACCGGGCCTTGTGTCGCGGGCAGGGAGTGACCCCGCCCGGATCCGCTCCCGAGGCCCCTCCCGAGCCGCGGCTGCCCCGACCCTCTATGGGAGCGGTGGTGCGAACGTCCCGCCCCGGCCCTGCCCCGCCGCAGTCCTCAACCAGGTCGGACCGACGACAATATACAGGCGCTGGCGCCCCTTTCTGCTTTACAACGTTTGCGGCTGAACGAGAAACGCTATGTCTGGCAGAGGCAAAGGCGGGAAGGGGCTCGGCAAGGGCGGCGCCAAGCGCCACCGCAAGGTGCTGCGCGACAACATCCAGGGCATCACCAAGCCGGCCATCCGCCGCCTGGCTCGGCGCGGCGGCGTCAAGCGCATCTCGGGGCTCATCTACGAGGAGACGCGCGGCGTGCTGAAGGTGTTCCTGGAGAACGTGATCCGCGACGCCGTCACCTACACCGAGCACGCCAAGAGGAAGACGGTGACGGCCATGGACGTGGTCTACGCCCTCAAGCGCCAGGGACGCACCCTCTACGGCTTCGGCGGCTAAACTCCAGTCACTAAAATTACATCAATAAAACCACCAAGGCTCTTTTCAGAGCCACCCACAAATTTCACAACGAGAGCTGTTTATTACTGATTTTTGAGCTAAGATTGCGATAGACTTACTGTGAAAGTGTCCTGGTTGTGCAATTCAAGAATCAGTCATGTAACACAAACCAAAATTTCTAAAGGTCCCGAAAAAGCAGCTATATCAAAATGTCCGGTGTGCTAAGATTAGATGCGTTATGTAATTTCACTTATAAATGTAAACTCAGTGCAGCAATTGTTGCGTACTTACATAATTTTGCTATTTAAAGCAGTACTGCCTTCACAATAACCGCAAAGCACAACAACGGTACAAATGCAGCGCCTGAGCTGTGACAGTCACAGAAAGGAAGTGCCTGTAATTACGTTGGTATTTTTTACTCCAATAGGAATGGAACGATTACAATCCTCTAATTTGCATAACGCCGTTATAAATAGGGGGGGGGCAGGCGCCATTTTTTATGTTGTTGAGCTAGCGAAGAAGTTGGAAAGAAAACATCAGGGATGCCTGAGCCGGCCAAGTCTGCTCCAGCGCCGAAGAAGGGCTCCAAGAAAGCAGTCACCAAGACGCAGAAGAAGGGCGACAAGAAACGGAAGAGAGCAAGGAAGGAGAGCTACTCCATCTACGTGTACAAGGTGCTGAAGCAGGTGCACCCCGACACGGGCATCTCCTCCAAGGCCATGAGTATCATGAACTCCTTCGTCAACGACATCTTCGAGCGCATCGCCGGCGAGGCCTCGCGCCTGGCGCACTACAACAAGCGCTCCACCATCACGTCGCGGGAGATCCAGACGGCCGTGCGGCTGCTGCTGCCTGGCGAGCTGGCCAAGCACGCCGTCTCCGAGGGCACCAAGGCTGTCACCAAGTACACCAGCTCCAAGTAGGATTTTAAATTAACCCAAACGGCTCTTTTAAGAGCCACCACACTTTCCTAAACGGAGCTGTAATTGCTAATACAGTATGGGATTTTCTCTTACAAATTGTATAATGTATGCAACTAAAAGTAAATAACGCGTGTTCTATGAGAACGTAATATCGCACAACTGTTGAGTTAGTAACTTTCTATTTGCATCCACTCTGCAGTAATAAACAGCTCTCATTGTAGAACTTGTGGGTGGCTCTGAAAAGAGCCTTGGTGATTTTAATGGGGCAACTTTCGCGACTTTTTTTGAGTTTAGCCGCCGAAGCCGTAGAGGGTGCGTCCCTGGCGCTTGAGGGCGTAGACCACGTCCATGGCCGTCACCGTCTTCCTCTTGGCGTGCTCGGTGTAGGTGACGGCGTCGCGGATCACGTTCTCCAGGAACACCTTCAGCACGCCGCGCGTCTCCTCGTAGATGAGCCCCGAGATGCGCTTGACGCCGCCGCGCCGAGCCAGGCGGCGGATGGCCGGCTTGGTGATGCCCTGGATGTTGTCGCGCAGCACCTTGCGGTGGCGCTTGGCGCCGCCCTTGCCGAGCCCTTTCCCGCCCTTGCCTCTGCCAGACATTGCGTTCCTCCTTCAACCCACAAACGTTGTAATGGGAAGAAGGGCCCCGGCGCCTGTATATTGCCGTCGGTCCGACCTGGTTGAGGACTGCTACCGGAGGCGGGGTCTCAGTCGCAGGCCCCGCCCCCCGCCCGGGCTTCCCGCCGTTCGGCGGCCGGGACTCTTTCCCGGCTCTGGCTCGCAGGCGCGCGCGGCGGTTCCGACTCTCCCGGGCTGGGCCGGGCCCCGCAACGCCCTTTCCGCAGCGGGGTCGCGCTGCGCTGCCCCTGCCCGCTGTCAGCCCGCCCGTCCCTTTGCTGCTTTCCTGTGCCGTCCCGGCCGTGTCCCCTGCGCGGGTGACAGTTCCGCGGCAGCGCTGCTTCTCCGCCGGTACCAGGGACGTGGGCGGCGGCGCTCCCTTCCCCGTCCCTCCCCGCGGGTCTGCGGCAAAATCCGACCAATGCGGGGCCGCGCTCGGCGCTCCCGCCCCGCCGCTGCTTTCCGCCTCCACTCGCGGGTAGCTGGCGGAGGCGCATTTCCCAGGCAGCGCTCCCTTTGTTTTCTTCGGCCATGGCGGCTTCGCGTTTTCTTTGTCTACCCGGACACTCCCACAGCTGCCCTCTCTTCCGTGCGGTCCGGGGGGCTGGGCACCGAGCATTTCGCGCTTTTATATCTGCACAGAGCGACATGCAGGTCTGTGCGAAGGGAAGCAGGGAGCAAGGTCCTAAGCGGCAGGGAAAATCATCAGTGAGGGATTTCGGTGGGGAACATTTAGGTCTGAAACTCCTTGAAGGCAACACGGAGGGGCTGTTTGGGGGCGCGGAAGGGACCGTCCGCCCATCCTTTCAGCCCTCCCTAGCCCCGCAGTACGGTTTCGGGGGCAGCGCTGGCCGCGGGGCGCTGGGCTCGCTCCCGGCAGATGCCAGGCTCCGAAAGAAGTGTTCTCTGGCATACACCGGGATCCAAAAAGCGAGAGAAAACATTACGAATATGACCAGCAGATGTCTGTATGACGTTTGAAAAATGAACACTAACGAAAGATTTTTTGTTCAAACGAAGAATCCAGAAATTTTGCCGTTTGTTTCACACTGTTGTGAACAAACATCTCTACATGCTGCTTACAGTATGTTGGACTGTATTTGTGAAGTGAATGAATAAATACTGACTGAATTATAAGACTGCATTTCTAAATTAAATCTGTTAAGATTGTAAATATTACTTATACTCAGAATAGAAGTAATATGGCTATAGTGCTTGCCAATTCTTATGTTATTAGTATTTTGCACCCTTCAAACTTGTCTACTGTTTAAATTTTTTTATATCCTTAGAAATTTGTGCAGTTGTTTATTTAAAGTTATTCAGGAGTATAATTTACAGAATCTTGGCAACATGTCCAGAATATTTCTTGGCAGAAAGTGTTCCCTAAATTCAGGGAGAAATGCAATTGAGATAGTTGTGCATTTGGTTACAGGTGTCATAAATGTACAAATCTTGTTATGATTATAATAATCCCCGTGAATTCCTTCTCCATTCAAATTGTTATTTTAAACAATTTAAAGAATTGACACTCATATATACAATAGGAGCAGAAAACATAGCTTGAATTTAGATTATGTTTGCTTTTTAACTGAACAGAATGAACAAACACAAACTGGAAGATTTCTCACTGGTGGACCTGCCAGGCTGGTGCCTAACCTTACCATTTGACTCCACAAAGTGTGCTTTGTTCTTTATACCTGAAGAATAGGTCTAGCTATGTTTCCTGAGGCAGTTATAAACAACATTCTGAATGATAAAGAAAGACTAAAGGAATTACACAAAATCTTTCAGTATGTCAAATAATAATTTCTTTGTAAGTCTTTCTAAATGCAGAGTGAGGATCATAGTATAACTTTTCCTTCTAGCAGTATAACAAGTGAAAGACTAGGAAAATCTTCCATTTCTGGTAGAAATGAGTGATGAAGAGGCTGAGGCTAGTAGTTTACAGTAATTAAAATAGTTGCAACCCCCTTTCCTCAGTATCTGGAGCACATTAGATGTAATTTAATGTCACACTTTCTAGAAGGTTGCCTTGTCTGTAGGTTGGTACAAGTGCACACATGTTTTCCGGGTGTTTCTGTTAGTGACATTAGTCAGTTCTCTCAGGGATCATAGGATTTTCTTAGGCAAAAATAACTAAAGTGGAAAGAAACTTTTCCTGCTGAATATAATCCCTAATGAAGTTGCTACTACTGTTGATCGGAGACAATAATTTTTATTTGGATCGAAGTTTAGGATCTAATCCTCAGATTGTAGGTACTACATTTTCCTCATCAGTTTGGACAAACAGCATCGGGGGTTAAACGAGAACAGAAACCTTTGCAAAACTCAGCTCCATTAAAGAAATAAAATAAAAATCTGTAGCTTTTCAAGTGTGCATTAATTAGGACAGTTGCCCTAGTTCCTCATTAAACTGCAATGATGAAATTGCATTTGTTCATTGCAATAAAGCAACATCTTACCATGACTGCACAAGAGAGTACAGAATTAGTAAAAAAGTCATTGCATCAGTGTGTTATAACCAACTGCAAAGCTGCTCTTAATTTTCTTGGGAGATTATACGGCAATTTAAATCCTTATCTGTATCTGCTACAAGTGTCATAATAATTATAACAATATGCAAACTAAAGTAATGCAAGATCTTTTCAATAGAGTACATTATTCCTAACATTATAAGCAATATAGATGAAAAAGTGCAGAAAAAGCCCTTCATATTTTTAACTATGCAATTCTCAGCCTTTTGATATAAAGACTGATATTACTGAGTTATCCCTAAGCATGACTGTAATCTATAACATTTGAGGGAGCTTGGTTGGAAGGTTTTTTTCTTTCATCACAAGTTCTTTAGAATGTGAAGGTGCATTGGAATCCAGTGACACAGCTAAGCCACCGTATCGTATGGATTTCCTCTTTCCTACTGTTCGTTTTATATGTGAATGAGAGAAACTCATTTATTTAAACTTCCTTCGCTGCATTCCTTCATCCAGTGCAATTTGCTTGAAAGCTTTAATACCAGTAGATTTTCCAGCACTCTTTCGTGTTGTGTAATCCGTCTGATTTACAGGACTTTTACTCTGAGGCCTCATCAGTGTGCTGGCAGCACAGGGTTCACAACTGGTGAAACCACTGGTGCTTAAGAACAGAACTAGAGAGTGTTAAGGAGTGAATCTAAGTATCACAGAGGATGAAACTACAGTTACTGGGGTGAGCAGACTAGTGAGTGAATTAAGAGGTGTTCGGAATGAAATTGTGAAGCAAATAACGAATTTCTGGTCAGATGACATGAAGAATTTGGAGAGATGTGCTGGACTGAGACCCACACTCAGAGGACAGGGCCCTCCCCTGTGACACCAACTCTGATTTCCACATAAAGGAGTTTGTTTGCAGAGAAATCTAGCTCCTGGATACAGATACCCCCACACCATAGCCTTTCTCTGGAATTCCAGTTCTTTGATTTAGAGGTGCATGCTTGTGGTCCAGAAAGCCAATCATAACCTGGGCTACATCAAAAGCAGCGTGGCCAGCAGGTCGAGGGAAGTGATTCTCCCCTTCTACTCTCATGAGACTCCATCTGGAGTTCTGCATCCAGCTCTGGGTACAAGCAAGACATGAATCTGTTAGAGCAGGTCCACAGAAGGGTCACAAAAACAAGCAGAGGGTTGGAATATTTTCCCATGAAGAAAGGCTGAGAGAGTTAGGCTTATTCAGTTCGGGAAGAGCAGGTTCTGGGGACATCTTGTGACTGCCTTTCAATACAGAAAGACAGAGACTTTTTTCAGGCCTCTAGGGACAGGAGAAAGGATAATGGCTTTAAACTAAAAGAGGGTACACTTAGATTGGACATAAGTAAGGATTTGTTTTTCATCGAGGGTTGTGGGACAGCAGACGAGGTTGTCCAGAGAAAATGTGGGATGCCCCATTCCCAAAGGATGTTCAAAGTCAGGCTGGATGGGGCTTTGAGCAACCTGGGCTAGTGGAAGATGTCTTATGCACAGAAGGTATGTTGGACTAAATAATCTGTAGTGGTCCCTTCCCACCCAAACCATTCTATGATTGCAATCTTCTGACACATACATTTGGAATCTGTTCTGGAAACTAAAGATAGATGATTTGTGCATGTTAAAATAGTTTTGATTACCACTGCAGTTATTCAAGAAGGGAAGTGTATGGGCCAGGACATATGTAGGTGCAGCAAATGAGGACCAATAAAACAACATAATGAAAACATTACAACCCTAAATGTGTACACTTACAAACAAGACCCTTAGGCACAGATACCCTCACTATATCAGATTAGGCTGGTGCTCCAGCAGCTCTGTTTTTCTCCACAAATTATCACTGGTGTTTCACTTTAGCCATGGCACAATCCTTGTCAAAAAAGCCTCTCTGCTACAGCTTGGGAGTAGCAAGGAGAGGCAGAGTGGGAGTGTTGCCCTCCTCCAAGCCCAGAGCATTCCTCCTCCCCAGAGGATGGAGAGCAGAGGTGCTGCACAGATGGGACCTATGGCCTTAATAGTGTAGTACAGACCATCAGATGCAGCTTCTGGGAATATACCAACAAGAGGAATCAGCTAGACAGTCTTTCTCATAATTTATGACAGTGAATATAAAGAGATTAAAGGTGGTGCTTTTGGGTGATACTTGTGCCAGCAACATAGAAAATTAAGTTATATTGCCCACTGCAAACTGATGTAACAAGAGGAAGAGCAATGCACAGTGAGGGAATTTTAAGGGTAGAAAGAATGGAAAGGTGCTTTACAGTGCAGGTCTGAGTAGTTAAAAGATCTAGATCAAAAAGAGACGTTTTCCCTAAGGCATCCCTCATGTTATTTCTAAATAAAGTTAAACCATAAGGAAGCTTTACATCTTTTGAAGAACAGAGGCCTACAAAGGAAATGAAGAAATCGTTTCATTAGTAGTTATGAGTTTGGGATGGTCTCCAATCTATTTTCATGCTGCATAGCTTTTTCCACACCCTCCCCATTCTTTCAGCCACCCTCCCGTATTTTTACAACCTAAGTAGCCTATGAAATCATGAAAGTTGAGCAGAGTCAATATTAAGACATAAGTGGTTTACTATTACAAGGAAAAAACCCAACAAATAAATAATTTCAAACTGATAGTATTTTTAACAAAGAGAGTTAGAAAGCAAATGTATGATCCCGCTTCAGTAGAAACAAAAGTTTAAAATACTGCATGTAAAGACAGCACGAGAGCACCTTTGTAAAAAAAGCAACACAACTCTTTTCTGACTCTGTGGGTGGCTCTGAAAAGAGCCTTTGGTTTAAAATCTCGTGCTAAGTCTGAGTAGCTTTGTTCACCGAACTTATTTACTTTTAGCTTTATGGCTCTCAGTCTTCTTGGGCAGCAGCACGGCCTGGATGTTGGGCAGCACGCCGCCCTGCGCGATCGTCACCTTGCCCAGCAGCTTGTTGAGCTCCTCGTCGTTGCGGATGGCGAGCTGCAGGTGGCGGGGGATGATGCGCGTCTTCTTGTTGTCGCGGGCCGCGTTGCCCGCCAGCTCCAGGATCTCGGCCGTCAGGTACTCCAGCACAGCCGCCATATAGACAGGAGCTCCAGCCCCCACCCGCTCCGCGTAGTTACCTTTCCGAAGCAACCGGTGGACACGACCGACAGGAAACTGGAGCCCGGCCCGCGACGAGCGCGACTTGGCCTTGGCTCGGACCTTGCCTCCCTGCTTCCCGCGGCCGGACATACTTTAAGCACCTGACACAATGCTCAGCCTCACCTTCGTAGCTAAACCGACACTGTCCTACTGACGCAACGGAGCTTCCCCTTTTTATCCCTTCCCTGGGCGGGATTGGCCACTGGTGATTGGTTGGAACCAGTCACTGCTTAAAGAACCAATGAAAATGCGGATCGTATGTTGACCAATCGGAGACAAAGGCACACCCCTTGAGGTAAGATCCAATCGCATTGCACGGCTAGAGGGCCTAAATTTGCATAACCGCTCTATAAATAGCTCGGGCTGCGGCCATTTTGGTGCTGAGTCTTCTCAGAGGGAGAGAAAAAGCGCTGTTAAAATGCCCGAGCCGGCCAAGTCCGCGCCCGCGCCCAAGAAGGGCTCCAAGAAGGCGGTCACCAAGACGCAGAAGAAGGGCGACAAGAAGCGCAAGAAGAGCCGCAAGGAGAGCTACTCCATCTACGTGTACAAGGTGCTGAAGCAGGTGCACCCCGACACGGGCATCTCCTCCAAGGCCATGGGCATCATGAACTCCTTCGTCAACGACATCTTCGAGCGCATCGCCGGCGAGGCCTCGCGCCTGGCGCACTACAACAAGCGCTCCACCATCACGTCGCGGGAGATCCAGACGGCCGTGCGGCTGCTGCTGCCTGGCGAGCTGGCCAAGCACGCCGTCTCCGAGGGCACCAAGGCTGTCACCAAGTACACCAGCTCCAAGTAGGGCGTCTCAGACCGTGACTTTCAACCCAAAGGCTCTTTTAAGAGCCACCCACATACTCTCTAAAAGGGCTTTGCACTGTAGTGCCTCAGTCTTCAGTACGAAAATTTTATTAAGGAACGTTAGACATAATTTAAAACAAATGTTCAATCGGTCATTGTAGCTTGTAGTGATAATTAATCCATCTCTGAAAGCCTTGAGTTATAACTTTAAATGAATTCCATTGTTTTAATTAATAAATAATGTTCAATTTTTTCCCCAATAACATTTAGCTCTTTCTACAGTAAAGATGTGACCGTGCATTATCCTTCATGTTCCATCAAATTTAAGTATTTTACATAGCTTCCAGTCATATAGCTAAATTAAAAGAAAATAAAAAAGGAAAATAATCGATCCTGATCACTTTTTACACTTATGTCCTGGAATAGTATAAGCTTAAACATTTGCCCTTCTGTATGAGAAGACAGGATCATAAGGCAAGGACAAAAAGCCTGTGAGAAGCGAGAACAACTGAGAGGGGATACACGCTATGGGAGGACGAGCTGTCCCGGAGCGCGGGGACCCGGAAGCACCGGCAGGCGTGGAGCCAGCAAGGGCAGAGCTCCGTGCGCCCCCGCCCCTCCCTTCCTTTCCTTCCCTTTCCCCCCCCTTGTAGCGCGGGCTTTTCCAAATTTCCTAATCGCCCAATGAGCGGCTGCGGCTTCTCCCATCAGCCAATCACAGGCGACTCCAGGGCTGCGCTCCCCGAGCCCCCGAGCTGGGGGAGCTCCGCGCCCGCTCCGCCCCTGCGCTGCCCCGGGGCTGAGCCCCCCCCGCGCTCCGGGACAGCTGCCCGGCCGAGCTCTCGTCGCTTCGGCTCTGCCGCCGCCAGCTCGGCAGGGTGCGGAACAGGAACGCTGGTGCCTCCTCCCCCCCTCCCCGGCGATCTCCTTCTCAAAAAAGCAGGTCGGTCAAGTCACGCAGAAATCGGGACCTGCCCCACGGCAGCGCTGACAAGCGGAAAGGTCATTATCAAGAAAGCGGAGGACTCGTGCTGACAGTTCCCTGCTACAGTCACTGAGGTGTGGCAGTCGCATCCATGCTATTAGAAATCGCGCTGATAAGAGCAATGAAAGAAACCTCCACACCCCAGAAAGGTACCCGCCTTTAAGCAGTCCCTTTAACACATACACCCACTTGCGGTGCTCAAAAAAAAAAAAAAAAAAAGAAAAAAAGAAAGGCAGCCTTTAGAAAGCGTTTTCGCAGGGAATGTAGACTTTTATTTTTCCAAGTCTTAGCGTAACCACGGCCGGAAGTTTAGCGTCCCATCCACTCCCCAGACAAATGTCCCACACGGATAGTGGCGTGTGGACAGCTCTGCTGCAGGCACGGAGCTCAGTGACGGAGTGTATCAGCCCTTTTGGGGACAACAGTAGGTGGCTCTTAAAAGAGCCGTTGGGTTTAAGTATTTCCACTTCAACACTTCATTTCTTGGGCGCTGCCTTCTTTGCCTTGGCTGTTTTCGGCTTGGCTGCCTTCGGCTTTGCTGCTTTCGGCTTCACCGCTTTTGCCTTGGCAGGGCTTTTCGCTGCTGCTGCAGCTTTTTTGGGCTTGGCAGCCTTCGTCGCCTTTTTGGGGCTCTTGGCTGCTTTCTTGGCCGCGCTGGCCGCCGGCTTCTTGGCTTTCTTGGGGCTCTTCTTCACCGCCGCCGCCTTCTTGGGCTTCTTGGCGGCGCTGGCGGGCTTCTTAGCCGCCGGCTTCTTGGGCTTGGCTGCGGCTGTTTTCTTCTTGGGAGCCTTTTCCTTCACTTCTCCAGGTTTCTTGCTGAGGCGAAAGGAGCCGGAAGCACCGGTGCCCTTGGTCTGCACCAAGGTGCCTTTGCTGACGAGGCTCTTGAGCCCCAGCTTGATGCGGCTGTTGTTCTTCTCCACATCGTAGCCGCCGGCAGCCAGCGCCTTCTTGAGCGCGGCGAGGGAGAGCCCCTTGCGCTCCTTGGAGGCGGACACGGCCTTGGTGATGAGCTCGGTGACGCTGGGCCCCGCGGGCTTGCGGGCTTTGGAGCCGGCCGCCGCTTTTTTCGGCTTCTTGGCGGCGGCCTTGGCGGCGGGGGCCGCGACAGCGGGAGCGGCGGCGGGAGCGGTCTCCGACATCGCTGCAGAGACTTCTTCCTAATCAAAAGAAAGTAATTGGGCTACAGTAACCCCGATGCCTGAATTTATAGCGAAGCGGTGATCTGTGATTGGTGCTTTGCAGAGCCCGCCTAACTGTTAGCCAGGAAGAGCTTTTCCTCCTCCGAGTCTGTGTTTCTTCGGAGTTATAAATTCATATTTTTTGTAAAACGAGTGCTGCAAAATCACCCCAGTTTCTTCGGAGAGTGAAAGGAAGACAGTGGACTTTCATTCGGGAGAGTTTCTTGCTGTTTGGACCACAGATGAAAGAGAAAAACTGTTTTTAACCCCGCGTCGTGAAGCCAGAAAGACCCCGAGAACGGCAAACTTTTGTTTTTCCTTCTAAATTAAAATAAAACGCGTAGATAAAAAGTCTCCCCAGTAATACAGGCTTATTCTTTGGGGGGTTTTCTCCAGCTTAGGATAGAAACCGAGTGGGCAGCTTGAGTATTTTTGTCGTAAATTGATTTCAAAGAGAAGGAAGTAACACAATTTCATGGCTGAGCTTTGAATATGGATAAAGATTCGGCTCTCTTAACCATATCTTTAACTATTAAGGATACAGTATTTCAACAGAATTTCTTGTTTTGAGAACATAAGAGACCTTCAGAGGAATATATATACTGTTGAAAATTGTTTGGAACTCGCCAGGACTCTGCTTTTTTTGTGTGTGTTGTTCTCTAAGTGGATAGAATGATTTTGATATTTTTACAAATAGTCTGTTTGTAAAATGAAGCTCTTAATACCTACTTAATGCATATGAATTCCAAATAAACTACTAGTTTAACGCTTTCTCAGGTACAATAGTGTATGCTATTCTTTAAGATTTACAAACTTCAGAAGCAGGTTTGTAGGGGAAAAATGTCTCACAGGTATAGATACACTAGTATGTATCATATGCTACTTAAACATTAATAGAGCTTACTGAAGCCCCGGTTCTCACCAAACAAATTAAATACTGTGGAAATATGGCCTTTGTGAACAGAATGCTTCACCTTCAATATTAGCTATAAATGTTTGGACACTGAGTGTTGGGGTTTTGGTATTGGTTTGTTCTGTTGTTGTTTTCCATAGGTTTCATATTCCTCCCATTCTTTTCTTTAAAGGAAAAGGAAAACACTTGCCAATTTAGGGTTTCACCCAAATCTTCAGAGTACTGAAATAATTTTAAGACATCCTCATAAATCAGAATCAATTTTAATTATCATAATCTCACTAAAATATTAAGTCTTATAAAGTGACAATAGAAATTGATTAAAATTTTTAAGGACTGCTACGGATTGTTTGGGCTAAATTTTTATTAAATTAGAACACAAAAGCCCCGATTGGTTTCTAATTAAAAAGAAGCCAGATTTTTTCCCTTGGTTGCAAAAAACAAGTAAAGATCAAACTTAATATTTTACCCCACTGTACTTCGTAAAACTTTGTCATGCAAAGTGTCAGTGGCTGTTTCAGCAAAGGAGCATGGATGAATTTGAGATTCAAGATGACATCAAATATGTTTTAAAAGGCCCTGGTGTGTATTTTGATATATTGAATGCTAAAGATACAATTAAGTTATATTTGATAGCGAGCAGTTTTAATTGAAAGGAGGTAGATTAAAATGGTAATGATACACAAGATACATTAAAATTACAAGTAAAAACAGTGAACCATCACTTTTTCATATTCTCTTTTATTTCTATTTTCATTTTGTTGTGTTTGCATGCAGGCCAGACAATAAATACTTTGAAAGAGAGGAAGGAAAAAGTGGAGATTGGGAAAAATTAAGCTTGCCAGTACTTCACGGTAAAAAACAGACTGAAAAGCATATTGAAGTGGGCTGTGAAATCTGCCACACTTCTCATGAACATGACATCGTTCCCACATAAACAACTAGACCAAATCCACAGTAGCCATAGATTTTGAATGCTCAGGGTGGCAACCCAGATTAACAGCATGAATATGTTTGAGAGATAAAAAGGTAGTTGGCTGTGGTAGGATGAGGACATTATGCTTACTTTCCAGTTTGGATGAACAAAGACAGCCACAGAGCAAAATCTGACTGTAAGTGATACAAAAGAGAGAGCCTGGAAGTGCTGTCATCTATCCAGGTCTCTTAAACGTGATGTACATTATTTGGAGGATAAGGACAGCATGAAGGTTAATGTGCCTTAATCTCTGTAGCTTTGATAGCTTAGTGTTAGAGCTCTGTAGCTCCGTTTGTTACACTTGAAAATGATCAGGAAGCTGGGAGCAACTGGGAGTGGACAATAACTACTGGTGCAAGAATGCAGCTGTAGCCTCAGGGGTGCATCCTCTTTACACATCAGTCACATTCACTCATTTGGGCAAGTTTCCCTTCAAGCTTGCTTTTAGTAAACCTGTTCTCAGTTCATCAAGAGAGGAGAGGTTTCCTTTCCTTCCCCCATAAACAGGATGCAGGTTAGAAAGATGGGAGTTAGTATGGGAGAAGAGATCTCAGATCTTGCTCCCTAAGTAGCTCAATCACTAGAACTCCACCCGCAGCACACAAGGATTGCTGTCCCTACTCTGGCAAGTTTTAAAGGGAGAAGGACATCTCTGATTGGTTTTGGGGGTTTTGTTTACCTCGTTTTGTTTTGTTTTTGTAAGGAAAGCATATGAAGAAGGTTGTGAAGGTCATTATCTAAGAATTTCAATGGTCGGAATTTAGGGCTTCTCTTACTTTTAGTTCTGGGTTCATCCCTATAAGTTTTCACGTCTCCTGCTCCCTATTTTGAGTTACACTTCTGAAGTCCTTTGCTTTTCCCTAGTAGACTAAGACATTGGAAGTCTTGGCAGCTGGCCTCTGGCATTTCGTGTCAGCATCCTTCATTGTATCTTTTCCTTAACCATCACACTGACTCTCTTCTGCACAAAGAATTATCCCTGGCCTACTTCTGAGCAGAGAAAATGTTCTTAATTTTACCGTCCATTTCTGCAGAAGGCGATCTTTTTATTTTTAAAGAGAGGGG